TATCTCTTAGGCCCCCACTTTTCTGAGGGGAAGACTGAGGTCTGTGGTGACAGGGACAGGATGCTGGTTATTTTCTGGGTGAGACACCCCAAACTCTTCTAGCCGGCTAATCCGTTTCCCGCCCCCACCCCCAGCATCTTTCCATGGGGCATTTGGTCTAATCCTGCCTGTTCCCCTGGAGGCTGCCATTGAGCTTTAAAAGTACACCCAGTGCAAGCGGCATTTCTCGGGATAAGGGGCTGTATGCCAGAATGTATGTCTGGTGGGCTGGGTTTCTATGGTTACTGATGGCCAACCTTGCCCTGATGGTCATACGTGTCTCCCCATTTGTGATCACATCTCTTCTGTCATTCAGCTCATTCCAGGATAGCTAGGTGAAGCAGGCCACTCCTAGGCTCAGGGGATCATGAAACCTAGAGAATAGGCCCAGAAAGTCTAGAGCCAGGGACAGTGGCATCAGCTACCCTCAACCTCATTACTCAGCAGATCTTTGAGGCAGTCTGTGTGCTGGCAGCATCAGCCCATTTCACAAGACAGGAAACTGAGGCCAAGACCATTATCACCGTCTGGACACAAAGCCAGTGACAGCTTGTGGTCAGGATTCATCAGAGCCACCCTGAGTACCACACCTCCAGGTTCTTTTCCATCTGTAAGTTGCTTCTGGAAGGCCTACAGATTTAAGGACTGTCCTCACCATGTCCCTCAGATGACTGCTCACACTGTCATGTTTGAGCCTATCACCTTCAGGAGCCAGACTCTAAAGGCTCAGAGGGTGTTCAGTATGGGACAGGGATCGGGGCAAACAGGGTCCATAGGTTCTGGACTGCACCCTCTCCTGGCCCAGCCGGAGTCTGCAAGCTTATAAATTCCATTATTCGTCAAGTGAGTGCCTGGACAATGAATATTTTATTCACCTCCAGACGCTGTCCCCACTAGTTTCTTGGAACAACATCGTTATCCCAGAGCCTCTGCTGTCCTGAGACACCCCTTTCCCCAACCTGTGCCTCTCTCTCCAGTCACACCTTTTGACCCTGGCACCACTGTGGCCAGCGCTGCAGAGATGACCTTGGCTCTTACCTTCCCTCAGTTTGGCTCTCGCTGGCCACTGGCTCAGGTTGTCTTGGCAGGCTCTTCCTTTCAGCTCTGGGCCTGCTGGAGCTGTGCTGGGCGCTCTCCCTGGTGCTGAACGTGGGTGGCAAGAGGCCGCGTACTGCAAGAGGGCAGGTCCAGCAAGGGAGTGTGTGTTGAGGAGAGAGGCCTTCAGTACCCAGAAGGAAGGGCCCTGGTCTTAGCCAGGGCAGGAATTCTGCTGCTCTTGGGGGGAAGGCATCACTCTCTGGACTTGGTGAACCCCTGTTGCTCTCTTCTTACTGGGATGGCTGTTGAGGAGACAGTTTTGCTTTCAGTAAATCGCATCCCTTACTCTCCAGCCCCTTTTGCTGAGGGTAAGCCCCGAGGTCTCCGAGATCCCCTCGGGAAGGCCTGGGGCCCATGCATCTATCAGTGTGATGGCAGTGGCTCCTTCCCCAGATGGGGAGCGACAGACATAATTCACACCCTGTGATTGCACTGTCTGCTCCTGTGACATGCAGAGAGGACAGTGTGACTATCATCCATCCATCCATTCATTCGTTCATTCACTCTCTTATTCATTTCACAGGAGTTCCTGTTCCTCTGCCCAAGACCAGCTCAGCTCCAGCCCGTACATGGGAAACCTGAGTGATGAGGACTCAGACCTGCCTTTTTAATTTTTTAAAAAATGTTCATTGATGTTTTGCCTGCATGTGTCAGATGTGTGAGTGTTGGATCCCCTGGAACTGGAGTTACAGACATTTGTGAGCTGCCATGTGGGTGCTGGGAATTGAACTCGGGGTCCTCTGGAAGAGCAGACACTGTCCTCAACTGGTGAGCCATCTCTCCAGTCCCCAGAGCCCACCTTCTAAAGCTAAGACTGACCTTCACACCTCTAACCTCTTCACTCCACAGCAGACTTCTCCTGGCTTGATGAACAGAGCCTACTGTTCTGCACTTAGATGTATTCCCATTTAATAGATGAGTAAGCTGAGGCTCAGGGAGGACACCTGCTGGAGAGCTCTGGCTTCTTCTAGAGTTCCAACTATTCATCACATCACTTTTCCTGACCCCATGTCCTGAGACTTTTGAACTCCTGCCTTCATGTCCCCCTGTAAAACTTTTCTCCACTTACATCAGACAGTAGAGCTTCATCCTCAGCCACACCCTGCAGCTCTGCGGCCCTTGCTCCGTGGGTCCTAGGCACAAGCAGTGCCTTGCCTTTGTGCTGGCATCAAATGCAGGGTCTGGCACATGGGGCCGTCCACTGAATGTCATACACAGCACTGGAGGGTGGAGGAAGTTGGCAGTGCTTCCCAGGCACACCCAGATTCCCAGAGTCTAGAACAGGAAGGGTCAGCACATCCCAGAGTCTCTGCCTTGGGCCCCGTCTCCAGCTCTGCCTCAAATGGCTCTACAGCTGGATTTGGTCTCTATAGCTCCCTCAGCAGGCACGTCTCTGCCTATAAGTGGGAGCAAGGCACTGAGTGAGGACAGGGACCAGGCAGCTTGCATGCATAGCCCAGGTATGTCCTATGTCCCCAGCCAGTAAGCAAAGGGGAGCAAGAACAGCTACTAGTTCACAAAGTGTAGTACTAACAGGCAGCCCACTGGGCCAGCAGCTAGTGTCCTAGCATAGTGCTAATGGGCAGCCCACTGGGTCAGCAGCTAGAGTGTCCTGGGGTGTGGCTTTGTATCAGGGAAGAGCAGAGGGAACAGCTTGAGTCACTAGGCAACTGAAATGTCAAAGATTGCCCAGAAGAATATAGTATCTAGGATGCTAAAGCTATCATCCCCGAGTGCCCGCCACTTTGACCTGGAGAATGCCTGTTCTGGAGAGTACCTTATCACACGACTGGACAGCTTGACCCCTTGGATGCAGACCAAGATTAATGTCTGGGGGTCAGCCCCTGAATGCATGGACACCTGCACCTTTGGCACAGACTTGCAGGGCCTGGCTGTGTGGAAGATGTCCACGTGATTTGTCCTTTATTCCTTTCTGCCTTTTCTTTTGAGATTTCCCTGACTGGGCAGCAAGGCCAGGGGCTTCAGGGAACCGGAGGGAGCTACCTTATCCCACTGTGGCAGCTTCCAAGAAAGCACCAAGAGGTGTGTTTCCTTCCAGCTCTCTGCCCTTAGCCCAGTAGCAAACTGTCTGGAAAGGCTTAGCAAGTGAGGCGCTTACAGATCACCCCTCAGTCAAGGCTTGACACTGGTTATTAGTTCATGATTCCATGGAGGGGTTTTCATGCTAATGGGAAAGCCCCAAGAGATTTGGAGAGCCATTCACATTAAACCACTTAATTCTCACCTGTGCCTGAGAGGTAGCATTGCCATCTTTACCTCACATGTGGGGAAACTGAGACCCTTGGAGGTCAAGGGACAAGACTAAAGTTCCATCAAAAGAAGGGGCTAGATGCAAGAGCCCAGGGTCTGCCGGGTTGGTGGCCGATTCTTCCTGCGTCACAGCTCTGCTCCACTAGGAATCCTAAAGGGTCACAAGGACTCAGCTGACTTGGTGTATGGGCAAGTGGGCAGGAAGGGCTTCCGGGTCTGAACAGGCAACCAACAGGCAGAGGCCTGGGGCACACATTCAGATGACAGCTGGGGTTTGTCTGGCTTCTCTACAGGTTTCATATGCTTATGAGAGATTCAGAGCGTGTCCCAGGGCTGAAAGGTTCAGGCCTGCCTTGGCCCAGGGTGGCTGGGGCTGGTGTCTCTCACTGAGCCCCCTCTCCTGGCCCAAGTCAGGGCTATGATTAATCATCAACAAAAGCAGAAACAAGCAGAAAAAATGTAATCAGCTTGGGAAGGGCATGGCCGGGCAGGGCTGTGGCAATCAGCTTTCCTGCTGGGGCCTTTGGCTGATTGGACCCAAGAGGGCAGGCAGATAGTTCATGTGGGGGTTCCAGGAATGAGACAGGCCAGCTGAGGCCCACAAGGCCAGAGGGTCACCGTATCCCGTAATTGTACATGTGCATACATCCGTGCTTGTACACATGCCACTCCCAGCTCAAGGGCCTTCACACCAGCCCACACCTGCCTCCCGCCTTATGCCCTTCCCTGCCAGCTCACAGTCCTGGCACATGGACACGGTCATGCACACTTCAGACAGTCAGATCTGCATGTGGGTTTGAAAACGCATGTACACGGCGTCCTGGACAGAGGGTAAAGATAAACACATGCACATGCTGCCCCTCAGACGCTCGATCCCACCCCCGTAGCACACATGTTCAAGATCTGGAAAAGGTCTAACCTGCAGCCACGTGACCAACAGACTCTGGGTCATCCGTCTCCTCCTCACTGTCCCTGGAGACGTAAGACAGACCTTGGCTTCTGCGCTGCAAGCTGAGTGGCAAGGGCTCAGGAAGGACCCACGGCTAGAGACCAGTGTGGGATCCAGTCACCTGCTGGTGTCAGCCACAGGCCAGTAGTCTCCTGCAGATCTGGCCTGGTGACCTTGGCCAACGTCCTTTTCTAAGCCTCAGTTTCCCCACCTTGGAGCCTCTCCTGGCACCCACACGAGGATCACTGGTTTTGAGGATCCCCGCACGGGGGGGGGGGTGGCGGGCAAACCTCACCTTTCTGGGTCTCTAGTCGTTAGTTCCCATCTCTCCGCGCTTGCTGGGGGAGGGCTAGAGGGGGCAGGTGGGGCAGTGGGTACAGGGAACAGCTCCACCCCCGTCCACACCACCCTGGTCCCGCTGGCTGAGAACGTGGGGTGAGGGAGACAGCAATCCGAAGCACCCTGGGAGAAACCAGAATCGGGGCGACCGGGAGAGAAGGCGCCCGGGCAGGCTCGGGGCGGCCGCTCAGGGGCCAGCGGCGGGAAGGGGCGGGGGCGGGAGGGGCGGGCGGGGGAGGCGGGAGCGCGGCGAGCGCCGCACAGAGCGAGCGAGCGAGCGAGAGTGCAGGCGGCGGCGGCGGCGGGCCAGGCGGCCGCACCAGCGAGCGGACAAGCGGGCGGCGAGCAGCGCGGAGCGCGCGGGGCAGCGCGGAGGGAGCGCAGCGCGCGGCGTTCGGAGCCGGGAGGCCGGAGCAGCGCCGCCCCCGCTGTCCCTGCGAGGCCCGGGTAGGGAGCCGGACCAGGGAGCTGGCGGCATGGCCCGGCGGCCCGGGGCGCGGGGGCGCTAGGTCCCGGGCGGGTGCCCCGTGTCTCGCCGCCGCCACCGCGCGCCGCACCGCGCGCCCCGCCCGCTCCAGCCGCCCCCGGGGCCGCCGGCGGCCGATGAGCCCCGGCCTCAAAGTTTGCGGCGGGCGGGCGGGCGCGGAGCCTCCAAGATGCCGTTCCACCCGGTGACGGCGGCGTTGATGTACCGGGGCATCTACACCGTGCCCAACCTGCTGTCGGAGCAGCGCCCGGTGGATATCCCTGAGGACGAGCTGGAGGGTGAGTGCCCCGCCGGGACCCCCGCCACGCGCCCTCCTACCTGTGCGCCCAGGTGCCTCGCTGGCCGGCTCGGGGGAGGGGGGCGCCGAGGACCCTGCTGCGCGACTCGGCTGAGCCGTTGCGCGGGAGGCGGGACGGCCCGCCAGCCCCGGGCTCCACGGTAGGGGTTGCCGCGGCGCGGGGACAGCGCGGCTCCTGTCCGCGTGGCCCCCCGGCGCTGCGGAAACTTGCGGGGTCCCGCAGCGGGGTCACTGGGCCGCGCGGCACGCGGAGATGGTGCGGCAAGGCGACGGGGGCTGAAGCGGGGGGTCCGAGCTGTGCACCCCGCGCCCGCCGCCCGAGCGCCCGCATCGTGATCCCTTCCACGGCGGCCGCCCGTGGCTCTGCGCTCCTATTGACATTCCGCTCGTGTCGCGTTCAGAATCCAATCTGCTTCGGCAGCGGGAGAAGGGGAGAGGGCGACCGCCCCGCTCTTGCCGGGTGCGGGGCTGCCCTCATCCCCATCTGCGGCCCTGCGAGGGACCCCCCACCCGTGCGCTGCCGAAACGGCCGGGAGGCGGTGGCGACAACAAGTGGCCGGATTGGGAGGCTCAGTCGCGACAGCGAAGCCTGAAAGGGAAAGGTAGAGGCCGGAACCCAAGCCTCCCCCGACCCTTGTGCCTTTCGGGAATAGGGACCGCAGGTAGTTGGCTATTGAAGATCAGCGCAGCACGAAGGGGCTGGGGTTCTCTGACCGCGTGTCCTGGGGCGCAGTGAGACCCCCCCTGGGGCCTTCCTAGCTCTTTCTCCGCTGAGATTGGGGGTGGGGGTATGCTCAAGATTCCCCTCCCCCAGACCTCTTGAGGCCCCATATGGAGTGAAGTCGGGGACTCTGAGCTGATGGGAGTCTTGGTCCCTTAGGATGTTTGTTGGCTGCTGGGGGAGGGGCTTCTACTACCCAGAGAATGGGCCTGTCTCTGATCCATGGAGTCCAGGGGTCTCAGTCCTGGGGTCTTACCTAGGCCCATAGGAGTGCCCTGGAGGGACCGACACAGGAAAGGACAATAGTGGGAGCCCGGGGAAGCCCTTCCGAAAGTCTTTCCTCAGCCCAGGCCTGGTCTGGGGCAAAATTTGGGCGAGTAGACTGTGGAGAGAGAGAGAAAGCAACTACCATGCTCCCTGCACCACAGGCCACCAGACACCTGCTTCCCACAGCCAGCGCCCAAGAAAACCATAGAGGGGGTTTCAGCCTCCATGGGACAGATGGACGGGTGCAGTCCCTGACCTGACCTTAGCATTCACCACGTGAAGTCCAGGTCCTGTCCTGTCTGGACCAAAGCAGAGCCTCCTCCAGGTGGAGGGGGAATGGGGAGGTGACAGGGCTCAGGAGGGGCACAGAGCACTGGCCAGTTCTCCTTTACTCTATTGCCTTTCATTCTGGGCCACTGCAGAAGCCTTTCCTCCTCATCCCTGGGACAGAGGCAACATGTCTTCCCAGACCCCAGGCAGGTGCGGCCTCGTTCCCTCGCTTGCACCCAGCGTCCCTACCATGGCCCTGGCTCCTCAGTTCTCACTGGGTCTCTCCACTCCTAGGTCCTAGAGTGCGCAGTCAGGGTAGGGAGGAGCTGAGGGAGACCGGCATGCAGGGGTGAACAGGGCAACGGTGGGCAGTGCAAGGGCAAGGAGGCCCAAGTTCTGAGCCACCCAGCCGATCTGCTGGCAGAAGCCCAGCGGTGTTAGTCACCATGGCACCAAACACACTCCCTGCTTCTCTCAGATCTCCTTCTGGTCTAGCAGAGGGGCCCTGGTGCAGGGGGCACCTGAAGGACAGGGCCATCCTGTGGCTGGCAGGTGGAGGGCACAGAGCCAGCAGACGCTTGTGGGAATCTACACATTAAGACAGGAAGTTCTCGGTGATTCTTGTTGGCTGCTGAAAGCCTGATGGCCCTCTTCAGGCCCTGGGCTCCTTGCAGCGGGCTTGAATGCCAGGGCTGGGTGCAGTGTGGCTGTCCTTCCCACAGATGCTACTTTTGGCCCCTCAGCCTCTCCAGGACACACTAGCACTCCTGTCCCAGGGCAGTTGGGGTTAGACCTAGGTCCATTGCTGGAAGGAACCCGTGAAGGAGCCACATGGACTAAGATGGGGACGGTGGCCTGGGACGAAGCTGCAGACACCTTTTTGTGCCTGCCTGCTGCAGGAATCCAGGCGGCTCAATCTGTGTGGGGAGGAGGACCAGGAGCAGGGGAGGAGGAGGGGAATGTGGGGGTTAAATGAGAATCGCCAGAGTGAACTTGAACAATCATTTGCCTCCGAGTCTTGGTTTCCCCATCTATAAAATGGGGTTGGCAGAGAATGCTGTGGGAGTACTCAGTGCAGGGCCTGGCAGTGGGGGCTGAGGACCCAAATGTAATAGCAGAAGAGACTGAGGAAGAGCATCCTATGAGCTTGGAAACATAGGGCCCATGAGGCATGCACAGCAGCAAGGGGCATGAGTATTGAGCCAAAAAGGCAAGCTGGGGGCCAGAACTAGAGACCTGTGGGAACTGGGCATGGCTATTGGCCAGGGGAGGAAGGGCCTAGACAGATATAACTAAGAGGCCCACCCAGCCCCTGTGTGAGAGGCCTGTGTGCTCCCACATTTCTCCTAATACCCCCGCATGGTTCGAACATACCCCCCCCATTCTGAAATGCAGCCAAGCCGGAACCTCCAGGAACACTGACAGACTGGTCACTGAGACAATGAGGTCCAGCCTTCAAGGGTAGGGATGGGAATGGCTAGCCAGAAAGAGGACAGAGGCAAATGGCCACACCGCTGGGTTCTGGGGTGGGCACTTGACTGTGGAGCCTGTGTTGAGGGTGGCCAACTAGGGGCACTAGTGTGGGGCCACCCCCCCCACTCCGTCCTTGTTTCCGGAAGCCAAGTTCAGCAGTCACCTCTGCACAGGCCAAAAATTCAGAGAGGATGGAGAGTTGGGGCTCAGGGCCAATGCCGCGGACAATGCAGCCACCACTGCCCCGTCCAGTGTCACCCATCCATCTAGACTCAAACTCTCTGGCAGGATGCTGGCTTCCTTTTGTGTTTGCTGGAGACTTGGGCCTCTGTGCAGCTCCACATGTTGGGGAGGGTCTGTGGATGTCAGGTTAAAAAGAGCAAGTAGGAGACAATATCAGCCTGGAAACCTAGAGGTCCTGCCAGCCTGTTTCCCAGCCAGACATCCTTATGCCAAGATGGAGTACAACGAGTTTTGCCTGGCCTCACAGGGCAGAGAAGGCTTTCGGGGAATGCACCTAGCAGTGATTATTCATGGCATACAGTGACCGGGTCAGTGACAGGCAACCTGACACCAACCCCCTCAGGGAGCCCTCAGCAGAGGCCAGACCCCAGCCTTGGAACAAGAACCTCATCCTGTTCCATAGCTAAGGCATGCCAGACTCAGAGAGGGAAATAAGTGCCTTGCCCAGGTCTTGGCAGTTGAGCAGGAGAGCTAGAATTTTAACCCAGGCCTTGGGTTTTGATCCCAGCCAGCCAGCAGGCAGGCCAGCCTAGCATTCCAGGATCACCTTCCCACACCGCCATCTGGGATGGTCTGGTTTGCAACGGCCACCTCAAAGTCAGGTTTGGCCAAACACATGCAGAAAAGTCTCGCTGTACAGGTAAACAGCCAGATGGGCAGAGCTGGGATTCAAACCTATGTTCCTGACATCAGAATGTTTCTCTGACAGAGATGATTCCTAGACTGGGCCTCTGTAGGCAGATGGGGGTGGACTGGGCTGGGGTGGTGCTCTGAAACATTAGTGTGAGCTGGGTGTGCTGGGAGGTGGGGGTGGGGTGGGGTGGGAGGGGGGATGCACAGATGGAGAGTGGCAGGCTGTGAGTTTACCCAATAGCCTTGGGAGGTCAATCCTGCCTGGGAGATGTCTCAGAGCCTGTCCCTTGAGCACATGTCCCACTTGTCACTTGCTCATTATTGTCTCTTCTGTCTGGTGTATTTTCCTCGGGGGCCTCAGAAAAGGGTATTGAGCCATCCCTGCAATTGGGGAGTCACCTTGAACCCTGCCAAGGTGGGACATACAGCTCAATCATCAGCTCACAGCAGAGGGTGGCTTCCACAGCACCCCCCGCTGGGACTTTGCCATCCTTCCTTGAGCTCCCTAATGGGCCTCATACTCCACGGGGTATAATTTCTGACTTTGAGGTTCCCCAAACCAGCCCATGGCTGGTTCCCTCACCTTCGCTCAATTTCCCTCTTCTGTGGGTGGTTCAGAGACCTCGCACTGAGGTGCATAACTCTCTGCTTGTGCCTTCCTGAGTGCTCTAGGAGACACGGTCCCAGGTCAGTTATTCAGTCATTGAATAGTTCACCTTGTCTATGCTTCAGTGACAGGCCCTGCTCCGGGTAATGGGGGCACTGTGGGGACAAGACCCACCTGTTCAAGAACATTCCGTTTTAGGGAAAGAGCAGATGTGTGGAGGGCAAGCAACCAGAGAAAAGGCAAGGCCAGCTTGGGGCAGAGAGACAAAAATCATGCCTGCTGGGAATCGACTACATCTGAGTTTGATATGGGAACAGAATAATACTGCGGACAAAGCTGCAGGTTCAAAGAGGTCTCAATGCCCCCAGGCTTGTGGGGATCTCCAGGGACTGTGTCCAGGACACCAATCCAGAAAGGTGACAGCATGGTTAGAAATGAGAGTAGGGGGAGGGGAGGAAGGGAAGGAGAATGCAAGCACATCTCCACTATGCAGACACTCCAAGCAGCTGGACTCCCTGCAGCAGCCCTGGCTGCTGCCGGGTCTTCATCTCTGGCCACAAGGGGCACATTGCCTCCTTCAGGGCCCAGGAAAATGTTGGTGGTACTTGACCTGGACAATCTGGCTGAGATCTACCAGCCTAGCCACCTCCCTGGCCCTAAAGCTCCTGATGCAGAAACCAGTCCCTAAGACTTGCCTGAGGTGTGTGCTGTGGGGGTGGGGGTGGTAATGTTTACTTCAGCCTGCTTGTGGGACTTTGACTTTCAGATTCCACATAGAAGAGCCATATGAGGACTGGGACCTGGGGTTAAGCCACCTTTCTGCTCTGTGTTAGCGTCAACACTTAGGCTGGCCTGCACTCTCTATTCTCCTAAGGCCAGAGAAAGTATGGGATCTTACAAGTCATTTCAGGGCTAGTAAAGTCCTAAGGCCTGTGATAGTGTAGTAGCCTTAATCCACACTGAGCTAGGCTGGCCTCCTGGATGCTTTTGTTTTAGTGCTGCTCATGCAGTGCCTCCATTTGCTGTGGATAAGACTAAGGCTGGCCAGACAGCATATGTTGCATTACTTGCTCCCAAGATCCTAGTCAAGTGTATTGTTCCTTCCAGAATCCCTCAGGTCCTCAGGCCTCAGTCTTCCCTACTGTACTACAGAGAGCATGAAGCTCAGAGATCATGCCTGGGCCTTGTGGGGAATCACTATTATACCTATTTTTGTCTAAGCGAGGAGGCCCGTGAATTCTAGCCGTCACTCACTAGCCAGAGTCACACGACCATCCCACCATGAGCTAGTGCTGCCTGATGGCAAGAATCTGAATTGGGAGAGGAAGCCCAGTAGGAAGATGAGACAAGATAATGTCAAGCAGGGCATCTCCAGCCGCTAACCTGGCTAATCTGGTGTGTTCCCTGCACCCACCATATGGTATAATCCTGAGCATACCAGGGAGGCTGTCAAACCCTCAGGGGGCCACTGTCTCAGGCTAGGTGCACCTTTATCTCTTCTGCCTTGCCTGTTCAGAGACTCCAGATCATGCACGGCCCAAGAATGTGTCCTGGCCACCCTATGACTGGCTCTCAACAGAGCTCTGGTTTCTGAGTGGGACTGTCAGACCCCAGGAATCTGGGAAAGGGGCTGTTGGGGACAAGGCTGAGGTTTCAGCCTCTGTTCCTCCACAGAGATCCGAGAGGCATTCAAGGTGTTCGACCGTGATGGCAATGGCTTCATCTCTAAGCAGGAGCTGGGAACGGCCATGCGCTCCCTGGGTTACATGCCCAATGAGGTGGAGCTGGAGGTTATCATCCAGCGGCTGGACATGGATGGTGAGATGCCCGCCTTGATTTACTTGCCCATCATCACCTAGGCCCTGGGGCCTGAACCATGGAGGCTGAGTCCACTCTGGCCTCTTGTTTCCTGGGTGGTCATGGCCTACTAACACTTCTCAGCTTAGAAAGTGGAGGCCAGAGGAGGCGTGGCAGTCCCGGCCACACACAGGGTCCAAGACTCCCCACCCCCACCCTGTGGTCTGAGAAAAATTTAAGTCTGGAAAAGGAGAGTGGAACAATTATCTCAGTTTCCACCACCCAAACAGATGGTGTCTGTATTTGCTACCTGGTATTTTTATTAAAGAAAAACTCTAATGATTAGTAATGCCAAGTCCCCTCTGCTCCAGCCCACCTGCTGCCTCTTCCCCCTCTCCTCTCCCTCCAGACAGCAGGAGTGAATCTGGCCAGCCAGCTTCATGTAACCATCTGGATGGCAGGGTGTTCAGCACTGTGCTGAGGAGCCACGGAGGGTTCTGAGTGTACTAGAGTTTCCCACACCTGGGGACCATCTACCACTCTCCTTCCCCAGCCTCCAGTAGAGCCCCGTCACATTTGGTAGCCTCGACATCACATTAGGCATCCCTGAAATCAGGGAAGGGGTTGAGGTTCCACGGTAGGTCTGAGGCAGGTCCAGACACCATTTCGTGTCTTTTGAACTCTGGGATACCTGGTCATGCTCTGTCTTACCCATTCATTAGTCCTGTGCCCACTCTAGGTGATGGCCAAGTGGATTTTGAGGAGTTTGTAACACTCCTGGGACCAAAGCTTTCCACCTCGGGGATCCCAGAGAAGTTCCATGGCACTGACTTTGACACTGTCTTCTGGAAGGTATGCCCTGGCTAATGGCACCCTGTTATGTAACCGTGGAGGTGTTGAGGGGGCCTGTGAGTGGTTAGACCCACACCACAATGAGTGGGCGATGACCACTGTCCACTGGATGTCCTGCCTCTCGGAGGCCTGGGCTCCGTGGGGGAATGGACTAGGTGGTTCCAGTCTTATAGGGTCTGGGGGCCTGTTTTAGGGCTTGTGAACCTACAGGGTGCTGGGTGGGGACTGTGGTAGGGGAGTGGCCAGAGCACTTGTCATTTTGCCACCCAAGTGTGACATGCAGAAGCTGACGGTGGATGAGCTGAAGCGACTCCTCTATGACACCTTCTGCGAGCACCTGTCCATGAAGGACATAGAGAACATCATCATGACAGAAGAGGAGAGCCACCTGGGCACTGCTGAGGAGTGCCCTGTGGACGTGGAGAGTGAGTGGGCTGCCTTGGGACTTTGTGGGTGGGTTCCAATGCTTGAGTGGGGGTGGGGAGGTGGGGCTGGGGGGACAGGGACATACCAGGGGTTTGCATGGGGTCCTCCTTATTTGTCCCCAACCTTGTATCCTTGTTTGCCTGGAGTCAAGTTCATGTGCCAAAGTGCAGACCTGACTCCATCCCTTCACTGTCCCCTTCTGTCTGTGCCCGGTGTTCCTGGTGGGCGGCTGCAGCTTGTTCCAACCAGCAGATCCGCCAGACGTGTGTGCGCAAGAGCCTGATCTGCGCCTTCGCCATCGCCTTCATCATCAGTGTCATGCTCATCGCGGCCAACCAGGTGCTGCGCAGTGGCATGAAGTAGGCACCATGTGAGTGCCCACCTGGCATTTGTAGTGCCCAGGCTAGCCCCACACCCACCGCCGCCTGCAGCCCTCCCTCACAGCTTACTCCTTGGGCCACCACCCACGGGCACTTCGAGCCTGGACATTGACCACCCCGATCCTCACCCCATAGGCCTTGCATGGAGCCATGGCCCAACCGTGAAGGACCTGGCGGTGGCTCTGAGGACAGTACTAGCCCCTATACCCTGCCTGTGCCCTCACCTGGCCTGTATGCAGCGTTAACTACCCACTGCCAAGGAGCTCCTGGAAAGGAGGGACTTCACAAGAGTCCCTAGGATGCAGTTAGTATTGTGATCATCTAGGCAGGCGAGAAACTTATGTCCGGAGCTGTGGGTGGGGTGGTAGTGGGCACAAGGCTGGGGTTCCTGGGTCCCTTTCTCTGACCCTCCCTAGACCCAAGGCCAGTCTTCCTATCCACCTTCTGGGGCCTGTGTGTGCCCATTTCACAGGTGAGGAGCCTGAGGCTATGAGGGACTAAGATCTGGCTTCAGGTTCTTCTTCCACACGGTTTTCCGTGTGGCAAATGCTCATGCAAGAAGGGCATCAGACATAGCTCTTAGGCCTATGAACTGCTGAGCCTTCCACCAAAATCCTAGAGACCAAGGACCAAGTTTCTCCCAGCACAGAACCTCAAAGCCCACCTGAGGAGGAAAACAGAGATCCTGTAGCCCACGTGCCCTGGCCACTGGCCAGGGTGCAACCTTGGAAGGCTATGGGCTACTCCCAAGGAACCCGAGTCCCCTGAGGACCTGGCACAGCCAACAGGTCACTCTTCCCTGTCCTCTTGGGGGCCCCACTTCTCTGTGCCCTCAAGGCAGGAGGTCCAGCTCATCCTGCCCCACGCGTGCCATCCCATTTCTTGGCACGGGCACAGCCTGGGCAGATGCATGGCTGCAGCTCTTCAGGGGCTGAGGCAGTTGGCAGAGGCCTTGGGCTCCTTTCCCTAGCCTGGGGCCACTTACAATCTGGGCCACAGCCACACTGACATGCTTTGTGCCCAGCCTGGCTGAGCCTCTACTGATCCCTAAGTAAGAAGGACTGTAAGAGGACACCCTAGAGGGGATTTTGTCTCATTCCAGCCCACCTGTCCCTGGATGGAGGCAGGAGGACAGAGAGAAGAACATGAGTGCCAGAAAACCATTGAGGACAGACTTTATAAACATCTGGATGCTTCTCACCCATCTTCTCAAATATGCCCCGAGGGATGGTGGGTGGATAGAGAGGCCAAGCTCATAGTCTCAGAGGCTCTGGGGAAAACAGCACCAAAGCAGCTTTGCTTCCTAGAAGTCAGGCAGGGAGGTGGGGAAGAGCTCAGCCCCACTGGACCCTGGGCTGCAGGGACCATCCTCCAGGAGGGGGTGCCCGCAGGGAGGGGGGCAGCTCCTGCATTGGTGGCCAGCCCACGGGGTACTGGAAGACAGTGGTTCTGATGGGTTCAGTCCTAGAGAGAAGAAAGGGAGAGGGTCAGAATGGAGCACCTCCTGGATCCGCCTTGCTCTCCCTCCCACCACACTGGCTGCCTGCATGGCCCTTCTGGAAGCAGAGGCTTGATAACATGCAGACCCTCAGAGCCAGCGACCTCTTCTCGGAACTGAGTCCAAGACGGGGTTTAGGCAGAGTCTGAGTGACAGGAACGGCCTTGGGCAATATGGAGGCCCTCTTAGTTTCCACCTGTGGGGACCAGTTAAACATATATGCACGCTAACAGCAGAGAATGCTAAGTAGCCTGTGTAAAACTCAAGGCCTCTATGCACTGATGAGGAAAAAATATACTATGTGAGTAAGGAGAAAAAGCTTATAAGATAATGTATATAGCATGATACTATTTTTGTTTAAATATATATAACATATATAAATGCATAAAAACAACCCTGACAGAAAATGTTAACAGTGGTTCTATCTGAGTGGCGCAGTTATGGATGGGTGGAGTTTTTTTTTTTTTTTTTAACCTTTTTATACTTCTCAAAAGTTTTACAAGCACATAAGCCTTTGAAACCAGAAAAAAAAATTAATTTAAAAGAAAGCGCCTTACCTCTTATGCTACTCACTCTCCTTACTATTCACATCCCTAAAGTCAGGACACATCCTCCTTAGGAAGGACCCTTGGGTGCAACCTGCTGTATCCGGGCCCAGAGCAACATGCAGGCAGGCAGCCTGCCACTGCCCCCCACCCAGATCCTGCAGATCTGCCTGATGTCTCACGGTGGAGAATAGCAAAAGGGATGGCATTTATACCCTGCGCCTGGTACAAGGAGGCCATCAAATGACACAGTCATGCCAGACTAAGAGCTCTCATAAGAAGAGACACCATTCTGGAGTCCTCATGCAAACCCCTCTATTCAGGGAAGGCAACTGAAGTACAAGGAAGGGATCAGTCACATGTCCCAAGTTTTACAAGCACACAAGCCTTTGAAACCAGGGGTTGGGGAGCAGTTCATGCTGGCCCAACACTTCAGTTCCTTCTGCCTCAACTTTCAGGGAAAGAGAGGTCCTGATAGCTCCCACCCATCTTGAGTGCCAAGCAACCCATGCTGTGCAGAAAGAGAAGGACCTGGGCCTTCTGTGAGGTATCTCACACAACTCAGGACTGAGAGTTTGCCTGGCCACATCCATCCCTCCCTCCTGCCCTTAGAGCCAGACCCACAGCAGCAGTGCCTAGAGTGGAGGTCTTGCTGAGAGCCCTGAATGAAGCTTCCAGAACTCTCTCTGTGAGGACAGGGATGGACAGGGACATCCCCCCCCACCCCCACAAGGGCAGAGGACAGGGACATCCCTGCTCAGTGGCTTGCTGCCTGCCCGAAGCGCAGAAAGCAGCCCTGACATGATTTATGGTACTGGGATTTTATAAGCTCCACCAACCACAGCGAAGATGGTATGGGAGAGACTCCAGTTGCTGAAGGGAGTGCACCAGATGTCAGCCAACCTGGGGGTTCCTGTGAGGCCACAGTAATGGTGGGGCTCCCCAGGGAAGGGTGGTCTTGGGGAGTTCCTGCCTCCAAGCTTCAGACCTTTCCCTTAACAAGTGGGTCAGCCAGTGCCCTGTCTGCTCTGAGGCCCCTGACAGGAGGGCATCACTCCTGTCCACTCATGGACACTGAGCCCTTGCTAGGACCCTGCCTCAGAGCCCACTCCTGCAGAGTGGTCACCGGTGCAATGCTCTTCATGGCCTACTTGCTCTGTGTACAAGGGCAGCAGCAGGCGCCTGGCATGTCCCCAGCTCTGGTCCTTATCAAAAGGAAATAGTCTTACAGGGGTGAATGTGCAGGACAGAGCGCTGGCCCAGAGAGGGGTGCATGGGGGAGATTAGGAAGGATAAAGGCACAATCAGAAGAGCCAACAATAGGAAGCGTGGATAGCAGCGCCTGACCGGCCAGGGATTAGTCTGTGTGTCCGAGGTCTGAGGCCAGTCGCTCCCTTCTGCGGCTGCTGTCTGCTCTTGGCTGCTCCCTCAGGGTCAGGGCTGAGGAGACAGGCAGACAGACGCCAACAATCTACACCTTTGGGAAGCCTGTGTCCCCCATTAAGAAGAGCCAGCCTGGCTTACCCAGGGTTTCTCTACTTGTGGATGCTGGAGCCCACAGGTCTGGGGGTTCCCTGTGCCCCAGGGAAGAAAGCATACACCCAGAAAGGAGGAGTCCCCATAAGGGGCCCTCAGTGATGTCATTCAGACTAGGGTCCCTGATCCCCCAAATGTGTCCTGATAGTCACCATGTTCTGGCCACTGTTTCTATTAAAGCTTGCAGGCTGAGCAGGGTTTTACCAGGAGAAGAGGTGAGGAGGGAGTGTCCAGTGTGTCCCAAGCAAGGTTAAGAGATGGGTAGCAGATGCTGTCCCTGGGGACTAAGCGTGGAGTCTGGGTCTTCCTCATCGCAGTCTCGGGAGGGATGGGTACCTTTCAAAACTAGTGGGGCTGTGATGTGGGGAGGGATTGCAAGGGCTACAGGGGCAAAGGTGACACAGCTCCCACGGGGCTCCTCTCAGGGATGCAGGGATGCAGGGCAGGGTAGCCCACAGTGAGTCCAGAGATGCAGAGGCAGAACCCAAAGCCCCTTTCCAGCCCCGAACACAGATCAGAGGAGTCAGGCCTAAGCAGCAGGGCTACAGTTCCCTGGCCAGGAAGAGCAAGCTCCAGAATTGCAGAGCAGTGCGCCAGGTCCCTGGACGCCTGGGACCATGAACAGGACACACCATGAATACCAAACCAAGCCACCGTGTGGCCACCCTGTAGCAGTAACTCAGGCTAGCTCCCATATTCACACTGGGCATGTGTCTGTACTCAGGCGGGGACTTTGGGCCTGAGCCCTTCTCTTACCCCAACATGCCCAGGCTGTCACTCACTGCCACAGAAGGAGACCACGGAGGCAGAACAGTGGAGTGAGCAACAGAAACATCACAGTTCACCCTTATAGTGGGCTCAGAATGGTTCTCTGACCAGCAAGAACCCTCTCACACAGCTGAAGGAGTCTAGAATCCTGGAAAATGTTCAAATTACATTCCTTCAAATAGGTCCAGAAGAAAGGGGCATCAAATTCTGTTTAAGCTATATCTCTATTATATCTTTCTTAAGTGGGGTATAGACACTGGGTACAGGTTTAAACTAAAAGTAAACTGGGGCTGGAGAGATGGCTCAGCAGTTAAGAGCACTGGCTGCTCTTGCAGAGAGGACCCAGGTTCGATTCCCAGCACCAACCACAACATCTGTAACTCCAGGTCCAGGGACCTACTGCCCTCTTCTGGCCTCCATTGGAACTGCAAGCACATGGAGAAGGGCTGTCAGGCAAAACACACACATAAAAATTAAACCCCTTAAACACACACACACACACACACACGCTCAGCAGGTGAGGGTGCTGCTGCCAATCTGCTGCCCTGGAACTCACATGGTGGGGAGAACTGACTCCCACCTGCATGCCATGGCATGTGTGTGCATGTGCACACCTCCTCCCAAATAAATGTCAACACTGACCCCTTTCCACTGGGGCAGAGCCGGGAGGAAAGTTTTCATTTCATAGAATGTCTGACAGACATCCTGAGCATAGCCAAGCCACTGTTCCTTGAGGCCACAGCATAGAGATACATGGGGTCTGAAAACCAGCGGCGATCTGTACAAAGCCACACACAGCTCTCAAGCTCAGCCTTAGTCCTTCTTCCTCCTCTACCGTTAACACTTGGACTGGGGCTGGGAGCCCTGGCCTTGCCTTTGGCTGTAACACAGAAGGTCCTGGCCCCTGCGCTGTACATCTGTTTGCTGGGGTGAAGTGTGGGTGCATCCTGACTCTCCAAAAGAGGAGAGCACACAGCCATACCTCCAATGGTGCCTGGCTCAGCACAGTCCCGGTATAAGAAGGGGTGGTGCCATTTCGGAGCATCCTGAGTCCCCAGGATGCAGAGGGACAATGACCTTGTTGTCGTCCCCCTGCTCTGTGTCCCTACAAGTCCCAGCTTCCCCTTCTACAGGGCCCTACAGGGACAGTAAATCCCAGGTACATAGGGAGTTTGTTTGCCATAGGTAGAGCCCTGACCTTTTACCACGCCAAGCGCAGGGTCACATATGTTTGGCCCCTAGCCTCTTTCAGGCCTGTGGGGTGAGCTATGAAAAGAAGGGGCCAAGAGACCAGGCAACTTCTCTAATACAACTCCTTCTGGCTAGAGGCCCACCTCCAAGAAGCTCTGTAGTGGGGGTTCACGCTTGGTCCCTGGACCTGGACAGTTCGTATGAATGCCTCAGTTTCCCCAAAGGACAGGTTGGCTCAGGCAGCTCTCAGAAAGAAAGGAGGGATAATCTGGGGCCGTCACCTGCTACTTGGGGCTGAGCTCAGCCTCTTAGCTCTCTTCTCCAGCCAGTCTTCCAGGTGGCCCTCAGGAAGCTCAGCCGTCTCCAGTGGCCATTCTCTGGCCCGCCTCTCCTCTGTGGGGGACAGAGTGACAGGGAAGGGTGAGGGCACAACCCCAGTGGCCTGAGTCTCACTCTTCCACAGAGCAGCAGTTGCTGGTCTGTCTGGGGGAAGTGGGCTGGTAGGTCAGGATCAGAGCCACAGGTTTGCCCCCTTCATTCCCCAGGTCCTGTGTCCACGACGATTCAGTGATGTAAGCTGTGCTCTGCTCTCTGTCTAATATAGACATGCTGGCTGTCGCCAAGCCTTGGGGAGCTAGGAGCGGGACGAAGATGCAGCGCTGAATTCTCAAGAGGGGTCTAAATTTTGGATGCAGGAGGCAAGTGGACTGCAGAATAAGGCTAATCACAGCCCTGGCACCTGCCAGGTGTCTGACCCTAGGCAAGATAATAAGCCTCAGTTCCCTGGTTTTTCTCCTCATCCAATGTACTAGAAAAATGTTGCTCAATATACTAAGAAAACAAGCAGTGAAGGAAAGAATTCACTGAGGCTGGTGAGAGCTAGGCAGTGAGGATCTCAGTGCTGGGGAGGGAGCCTTGAGCCAGGGGAAAATAAACCTGTGGGTCCACACCTGCTCAGGCCCGGGCTCTGCGCTGACACTACATAGGTGTCATCTCACAACCATCATTGCCTCCAAGAATCCATTCATGGCCAAGTCACAGGGGAGGCGACAGAGCCAGTGCCATTTAAACTGTCAGCTGCCCCAGGCCTCACCCACTGTGTGCCTGACGGCTAGAGACTGCAACTGCCAGAACTCTCTGGCTGGCCCCATGAGGCCTCACTTCCACCCTGGGAAGTTTCTGGAAACCCTGTGTGGTGCCAGCCTGCAGGTGCTTCTGCCTGAATGCTGGCTCATTTCCTCCACCTGTTCAGTAAGGTGCCACAGGAGATATGACAATCATCCAAGTGGGACCTCCTGGATCTATAATGGGAATAAGCAATGAATTCCAAGGGCAGACAGGCCAGCTTCCATGGGAGCCACAATCACCAGGCTGTGAGGAGCCTGAACACAGGGAAAGGGTTTTTTTTTTTTTTTGGTTGGTTGGTTTTTGTGGGGGGTGGGGCAGGTGGGCAGGTCCTCATGCGCTCAGGCTGGAACTAGTTATGTAGTTCAGGTTCAGGCCAGCCTTAATTAAACTCTAGATCCTCCTGCTCCCACCTGTCAAGCCTGAGGTTACCGGGTGCTTCACCAAGCCCAGTAGGGAAGTGTTTTCTGCAGACTTCTGTCCTCAGAGGGTGCAGGCATTTGCTGGTGCTAAACGGGGACTCCGGTGTTTACTGACTACAGGAGGGAGGGAAGAGAGGGAGGGAAAGAAGGAGGGAATTTGGAGGGAGGGAAGCATCCAGAACAATAGAGACTAGTTGAGTTGTGGTGAGCCGAGGACATACCCTCAGGGTCCTGGGAAGAAGTCAACTGTGCTTCATACTCAAGGTACACAGCCACCCACACCCACACAATGGGGTGGGTGGCTCAGGGTTTCCCATTAGCCCGGGCAGTCCTAGGCTTACTCACACAGTACATGCCAGTAAGGGACAAAGTGGGGTGGCACCGCTTCCTGGTATTAGAGCCTCTCCCATTCCCACCCCTCAGCTCTGTTTCACCCCTACGCACCCTCCACCTGGATGCTCAGTTCCTGCAGATCTCGTTCTGACATGTGGGAAAATCTGCAGTTGGAGCCAAAGTCGCACTGGCCTGCAATGGGAAGACAGTTACTTTGCTGTGACAGACTGGTCTCCGAGTGTTAGGGGCAGGGATTTTAGGATCTAGAGTAGTAGCCCCACCCCAGTCTGGAACGAAAAACCAGACTCTCTGGTCCTGCTCACATTCAGTGGCCTGAGGTCCAGCCTGACCCATGATGCTCTATTCCTGGTGCTCTGCAGGGAGCCTCCATGTGCATTCCTGGGAGGCTCACCCTTCCTCTCTAGACCAGGCCACTGCACATGCTGTGTGGTCCTACCTGCTGCTCTGCTCATTGGCTTGTACAAGCAACTGAACGGCTCCTCAGAGAACTTGGGGGCAACTTTGCCAAGGAGAAGTCAATGTTTGGATGGCTTTCCCATTATCAATCAAGGAATCTGAAGCATGGCTTTCAAAATTATAGACCAGTGGCATCCTCAGCTAGAACAACCTGCCAGCAGTGTAGGCATATCAAGCCGGGTCTGTGGGGGCCTGTGGCCTGCAGGCCTGGTGGCCACTTGTCAGGCAGCACTGTCTCCTGAGGGGAGTCCAGCCATTTACCCAGCTACCTATTACAACACAGTGCCTTCCCCATTGGTAAGCTCCTGTCTAAACCATGTGAGTCCTGTGGTTTTCATTTTTGCTTTGATTGCCAGGAAGCTCAGGGCTAAACCCTTAGAAGAGTACACAGGTCCCAAGAATGGGCATGGAAATTAGTTATTCCTGGACTGTCTGACTTCCCATCCTTAACCGTCTTTGCTTCCCTTACTCACTGTATCTTTATTTTATTTTGTTTTTATTATTATTATTGTTGTTGTTGGGGTGCGCGTGCGCGCACGCGCGTGTGTGTGTGTGTGTGTGTGTGTGTGTGTGTGTGTGTGTGTGTTACTTTTTTCTAAAGGTAGGGCTTGCTACAATAGCCTTGGCTGGGCTTGCCTTCACCTCCCAAGTGCTAGGATGATGGGCAGATACCACTACCCCATCCTATACTCACTTTTGAGCTGAGCAATAAGCACTCACAGGAACACCTAGCACCCATGCTTCTGACTCTGAACTTGGGATTACTAGGCCATCCCTGTTTCAGGCTCTCCCTACTGGGAAGGAGGATGCAGGAGATCAGGCCCCCTGGCTAACCTAACCAGCTTTCCTTTGACCTTAGTAGTGTTCCCTGGCTTACACTGCCCACATTCTTACTCTAAATGAGTCAATAAAACCACAGCCTATGTCTGGAGGTCTCTAGGTGAGAACAAATTCCTAGAGATGCCTCAAATGACCAGTCAGCTAAAGCCAAGGCTACGAGGTGGCTCAGGACGGCGGCAGGGACTGGAGGAGACACTACAGGCTGCCACGCTGGACAGACAAGTTGTTGCTTTTCTGTAAGGATGAGAGCTGAGCAGATCACGTACCTGTCAGCAGAAACTTCCTGCAGGGTCTCTTGTTCTGTTCATCCAGCAAGATGGCAGCTGCATCTAGGAAAGGAATCTGGATTCAGATGACCCCACCATGGGTGAAGCCTCAAGGGCATGACATCAGTGACACTCGGTCATAAGAAGAGAGTTCTCCATCCATGGAGGGCTGTAAGCTAGGGTGGCCACAGTGGGCAGAGGCAGTGGATACAGGGATCCAAACTGAGTGACCTCGACTCTTCATACCCCTCAGGACTAGCTAAAACCATGAGGCACTTTGAGGCTAGAAGCTCTTCGGGTTGTTTGCCAATTGGTTTAGATGGGGGGGGGGTTTAAAATCTAGCACCATGGGACGCCTGTACAACCTTCCTAACTTCCTGCAAGTCTGTGAGTGCAGTCATAGACCCTGCAGGTCACAGGTTCACTGCCTAGTGATGTGGGGGTTGTTTTAGCCTGTGATATCCACACATGTGTCCCTGTTATAAGCGACACATGATAATTCAACATGAAAACCTTTGCAGGAAGTCCAGATGCACAGGCCTGTGCTCCTCCCACCCACACAGTGTCCAGGGAAGGCTCCCAGTGCGACCCCTACTCCTTTCAATCTCCCCTGCACCAGTGGTGGGCACTCAGGGCCACACCAGCCACTGCCCTGTACAGGGATTTCCCAGCGAGCGTCCTGGATGCTCGTTCTAACCCTGACTTCCCATTTCTCCTCTCTTTATTCCTATCACACAGCTATGCTTTTAAATGTGTGTGCTTCCCAGCAGGAAAGGTATCAGTCAAGAATGTGTGAGTAGCCCAGACATGGTGATGTGTACCTACAACCCTCACTACTTGGAGGGATGACACAGGACGACCGGTTAAGAGTTCAGACCAGCGTATGCCAGGCAGTCAGATCCTGTTTCAAAACAAACAAAACATCTGAGTAAGGTAGAAAGGTGGCGCACGTGGCCACGGGAAGCAGCTGTCTTTCCTGGGTTGTTTTCCCCATGTAATGGGAAGAAAACTTCCCACTTGGTGGGGCTGCTGTGGAAGTTTAATAGAACAACAGATGGGGAGCCCTTGAGAGGTGGGTCGCAATCCTGCTGGCACTTTAGCACCACAGGACTTGGCAGCCTCAGCATCCTCTTCCCCAGCACTTAGAGTACTACCAAGCAGCCAGTGATTCCCTCCTGAAGAGCCTCCTGGGCAGCGCTAACAGCTCCAACCTGTAGGGGTGGGACTGAGCCTGAGACAGGGAACGAGCTGCCCAAGGGTACGTGCTAGGAAGTAGCAGCGCCTAGCCTGCACTGTGGTGAGTCTAGAGTCCTGCCCTTCCAATATGACTGCTTTCAGGTGGCTGAGGAGGTGGACAGCGCTGTGGGCATGCTTCCTTGCAGAGTAGCTAGTGGCTAACAGGGCAGGTAGTCCTCTGGAATTGGAGTTCCTTGTCAGAGAATTCATTCCAGTATGACGCTCCTAGGCTGGAGAAACACCCATCTGTCAGATCCCGCTGGGACCTACCTTCTCAGGATCCTTCTGGGCCTGGGCCTAGGATGGCTGGGGCCGCTTGTAGGGCTGAGCCGACCCCTAACAAGAGGCCCTGAGTGAATGGTCAAACGTGGGAGAATACCGTGCTACCTAGCCTCTTGCTGTGTCTCTCCACCCAACTCACTTTCCAAACCTGGGGCAGCTATGGACAATCAGTCCACTCCTCTCAGGTTCAGACAGGTCTTGAACTTAGGATCCTCCTGTTTCAGTCTCCTTTGGACAGGGTCTCACCATAATGTAGCCTTGGCTGGCCTTGAACTTTATCTCAAACTCTTCATCCTCCTGCCTCAGTTTCCTGAGTGCTGGGATTATAGGTAGGCATGTTTCCCAGGTTCTGTATTAATTTCTCTTAGAGGGAAAGTCACTGTGATTGCTAAAAATTCCTCAGTGCCCCTGAAGGATACCAGATTGCAGCCCAGGCTCTGCTCAGAGCGGCCTTGTTCCTCTACATCATATGTAATGCTCTTTGTGACCTGAAGAATCAATCCGTGAAGCTTCACCTTCCCAAATACCCAGCTGCCCCTGGTGCCCATGGCTGTTTGCTCAATTTAGCCCTTCATCTCTCAAACATTCACTGAGTGCATCCTTCCTGTGTATCAGGCACTGTGCCAGGTTGAGTATTTAAATACAGATCAAGTGAGACCCTGTCCTTCCTTCCCGTCCTACCGCTGCTCTGGTCTACATGGATGTCAATGCAGTGTTGACCCTGCCACCAGATAAGCTGGCCCCAGGAATGGGGAGCCGTTCCTGAGAATCTGCTGTCTGACTTGGGTTCTGAGATTCAGGGACTGTCCTGATGGGGAAGGACAGCAGGAAGGGCATGTCCACAAAAAGTATATGCAGGGAGTGTGTGCCCAGGACCAGGAGGGAAAGGCCAGCAGAACATAGAAGCCAGCACAAGCCTGGGACTCAGCCCAAAACATCTTGCATAAGTGACTGCAGGGCCCTTGAGACGGCTCAGCAGATAACAGCACTTGCTGCCCAGTCTGACGATTTGAGTTCTATGGTAGAAAACACTGATTCTCTTATGTTATCCTCTGACTTTCACATGCAAGCCATCACACACACACCACACACACACACCAAATTAATAAATGTAATAAATAACTTGTACAAACTACATAAAAGGAGGGCTGAATCTTCAAAGGCTGGCCGAGCTAAGTACTGCTAAGTACTCACTGAGCAATGGCTGACTAAACGAGCTCACGAGACAGAGTCTGAGGCCAATGCTTTTGGGGGCACACAGGCATCGCTCCTGCTTGCTACCTTCTGTGCTTTCACTGCCGAGCCCTGTCACTATTGTTACATCTGCTTTACATACGATGAAGTTAGGGTCCTATTGCCAGTGACTGCCAGGCAGCTAGTCCTCAGGGCCTGTGCTTGTCCTGACCATGGTCCACGGATCACCAGTTGCTGAGGGCTCGTGGATTTGTCTGGAGGGACAAAGCAGTGTTGAGAGAAGTCCCAGGTGACACACACAGTGCCTCCCAGGGTCTGCAGAGTAAGCCAAGGGGAGGCTGCTCTCGGGAAGCCTCCTGAGGAAGTGCTAAGAGCTCACGGGTCAACTCAGCCACCGAAAGCTAGATCCCGGGCACTTTGTGTTTAAAGTTATCATCTAGAAGTAGGGACTCCTGGGCCACCAGCCGCTCTCACAGAGCTGTCCAAAGGGCTGGGTGTGGCTGAAGATGAGGAATCCTGAGGAGAGGAGCTTTTCTTTTCTGTAAGTAATATGAAGACTTCTGCTGTGCAGTCCTGAACCCAGGACCTGGAGGAGGAGCCAGTGCCAAGATGATCTTGGCCCAGTTGATGCCAGATCAGTCTCCACAGGATTTGGGGGACAGGAGGCATTGCCTGATGCCAGGTTTCTGAGGAGTCCCACCATTTCTGAATTCCTAACCTACCCCCCCTCTCAGCCACTGCCCCCCCATGCTGCTAAGGTTCCAGGATCTGGGCTCCTCCACTTGTTTGAGCCCTTAGAGCACCCAAACCGCCCATCTCAGTCCAGGGACTCCTGGTCCATTGTAGCCACAATGCCAATCACCTGCACTTTCGGCTGGCTCAGTATGGCTCCTACCTAGCAAGACAGGCCCTGTGCCAGATACTTCCACCTCAGTCCATCAAGTCACTCTCAGGCCGAGAAGCCTTTTCTAAAGGGCCCCCTTCCCTGGCAGATGAACTGTTCAGCACCCTCTGTGCCTGTCACTGAACAGCTACTTCCTACACCCTATGCTAACCCGCAGCATTCTTCAGAAGGTTGTCCTGAAGACCCAGCCACCGCCTGCAGTCAGCTTCAGCTTCTCCTCACCTCCCTTACAGGCTGTGTCCTCTCCCCTGCTCCCATAAATATGTCTGAAGTCTGTATTTCAGCCAGTGCCTCAAAGATTAACTCCTCAAAGAGGGCTCTTAGGTGGGGAGTCATGGTGGGCAAACCCAGAATCCTGGTCAAGGTGGCTGGAAAAGGAAGGTCTGCTATGGCCCACCCCTCTCTCTACCTTTTTGGGTTTTTTGCCTTCCTGCCTTTTTAGTACTGGGAATCAAACATAGGTCTTCTGTATGCTAGGCAAACAATCCATCCCTGAGTTATAGCTTCAGCCCTTGGCTTTATTGGGTTTTATGACACAGGGCCTGGCTAGCCTGGAACTCACTATATAGATCAGGCTGGCCTTGCCTCAGACTCCTAGAATTTCACCTACCTCCGCCTCCTGAGTGCTTGAAATAAAGTTATGCATCCCCATGAGTTGTTCTCTGACCTTCATATACATTCACACTGGGCAACGTGCACATGCACCATGCACATGCACGCGCGCGCACACACACACACACACACACACACACACACACACACACACACGCACAGGCACACGTACAATTAAAAAAAAAGACAGAGCTGATAAGGACCTGGGTTCAGTTAGCACCTACATGCTGCAGGACATCTGACACCTTCCTCTGATCTCCACAGACAGCAAGCGCACAAGCACTTACATATGTGCAGGCAAACACTCACATAATACAATAAAAATAAATGCTAAAAGAAAAGCAGTCAGCCAGGTGGTGGTGGTGCACACCTTCAACCCCAGCACTCGGGAGGCAGAGGCAGGCGGAGCTCGGTGAGTTAAAGGCCAGCCTGGTCTCCCCGTCTTCTCCAGGATAGCCAGGGCTAAACAGAGAAACTCTGCCTCAAAAATACCAAAAAAAAAAAAAAAAAAAAAAAAAAAGCCATCCCAGTCTGTCCCTAAGGTGGTCCTTGTCTGGTGGGAAATTAAGTCAGCGCACAGGCCCCCGAGCCAGCCACCCAGCCCACAAGCACCCACCTCGGAACATGTCGTACCACACCTTCTTGGCCTTGAGATGCTGCAGCCCATTTAGGTGCTTCTTTCGGTTGTGGAGGTTGTCCTGGAAGGACCGGTCACAGTAATCACAGAAGTATCGCTTCCCCATGGCCACCTCCGCCAAATGCTAAGGTCCCTGCAAAGCCACAAAGCACTTGTTCAGACATTGATCATGTGCCAAAGCTCTGGGCATAGGGCCCTCAACTGAGCACCGAGAGCCAGGCTTGGTCCAAGCCTTTACTTAGAGGCCCACTTCCTGTGCAGTGTGCAGAGCTGACAATCAGGGGTAACAGGCCTCATCCCGAGGGACCTTACACTTCTGCTATAGTCTCCAACACTGGCTGGCCGAGCTACGACTTCAGGGTATGAGGTCCAGCTTTGGAGATATTTATTTATTACTTAACTATTTGTTTTTTGTTTTTTTAGATAGGCTTTCTCTGTGTAGCTTCAGAACCTGTCCTGGAACTCGCTCTGTAGATCAGGCTGGCTTTGAACTCACAAGATCCACCTGCCTCTGCCTCTTGAGTGCTGGGATTAGAGGCGTGTGCCACCAACACCAGCTGGAGTTTTTTTTTGTTTGTTCTTTTTTTTTTTTTTTTTTCTTTCCCAGCTTCTAGGTAATTCTAATAGTGGACAGGCTGGAGGACCGTCACCTTAAACCCTCTGGCTAGCTTCCTTTGTGCCTGTGGAACCTCCAGCCTCCTTGCTGTCTCCATTTAGATTTCCTCTCTGCTTCTCACAAGTGACAGGCATGTGGCTACCTTCTTGTGTTTGTGCTTGCTGTCCCTGGGCCTGAATGCAGTCCCTCAGATACCTGTCACACTTGCTCGCTCTGTCCTTTGATCTTTGCTCAAATGCTACCTTCTTCACAATCCATCATGCTCACTGGATCTGAACTCGACCACTGGACCAGACACACAGGACCCTCTTTAGTTATCACCACTTTGTGCTTTATTTTTCTCATAGCGCCAATCTTCTCACTATGTTACTGTCTTTCTTTTCCAACAAGAATATAAATCCGTGAAGGCAACTATATTTTGTTGTTTCTTAGGTGTCCCAGCACCTAAACGATACTTGGAACAGAATAGGTAAGCAATCGAGTATTTGCAGAATAAATTAATGAATCACCATGTTCCCTTTGGGACAACTGGGGTTCAGAGGGAGGAAGTGATTTGCCTAATGTCACACAGCTGGTAAGCAGAAGGCAAATACAGGTCCCCTAAAAATTCTGTTGCCAAGTATCCCCGCCTCCTACAGCTAGCTCAGTGCTCAGGGAAGCCAGAGAGCTAGTTCCCAGCAGGTGCTTCCTGAGGAGACTACTGCATCTTGGGGGAGGAGGTTCCCAGCCAGCATCAGATGGAAATGGGGACACTGCAGTGTCTTAAGGCCCTTTAGCAACAGTTCCCTCAGCCACCGTTCCATGCCAGGACTCTGCAGCCCAAGGTGGACAGTGACAGTCAGTCTCACAGCCAAGTCCTGGGTCTTGCCGCTCACTGGGAGCTAGCCAGAGGGACTGCAAAGACTAAGGCCAGAGCAACCCCTCCCATGGCAGAGCTGGCTCCTGAGACCCAGGGGAAGGTGGAAATGACTTCCCCGAGGTTACGAGGTAGCTGCCTAAAGTGGCAGCTGAAGCTCCAGACTGCCAAGCACCTGGCAAACTAGGCTGACTTTAGGGCTCAATCCACAGAGCAGACAGATGGGGAAGACACCTCAGGAAGAAGGGACTGGGAGAGAAGGGAGACAGTCACCATGATGGTTCAGGCAGCCAAGCAGGCTGATGGAGAAAGTTGCTCCTGCAGCAGACAGGGATGGCAGCCATTAAGTCAGGGGCTGTAATGGGATCAGGAACAGCCAGTCATTCCAAATGAAAACGTATAAAACCTCTCTTCTCCCATTACTCCCGAGAAACTGCATCCCAGACACGAGGACTTGATCTATTAAATTTGGCAGCTCTAATGCACCCCGTCTTGCCAATAAACTTATAGGAATTGGATTGAAATTGTAAGAGATGAACGCTTAACGGCCGAGTGCTTAACCAAGCCATTCACGAAGCTTGAAGCTCCAAGGAGCTGCTGGCTCTGGAGACTAATGGGAAAAGGAGGGGCGGGGGAAGGTATCCCTCTGGGAGACTGACGTGAGGTGGACCAGTGCGGCTCTGCAACAGCCTGAGGTGGACAAAGCCACACAGAGCACAGGGAAAGCAGCTGTGTGCCTTTGTGCAAGTTGCTGTCCCTTCTTGACACCTGTATGTTACTGTGTGAATATGAGGCAGCGGACTTGAATGATCAGCTATTATTTCAGAATATAGAGAAATATGCTAGGACAAATTTACATGTTAAGGCTAGGCTATAGATCAGCAGCAAAGCACTTGCCCAGCGTGCATGTGCCAATAGATTCAATCTCTAGCACCACAAGTAAAAGGACTATGGACTGAAACCAACGCTCATGTTTAGCATTAAGCAAGCGCTCAGAAAATATTTTTGGAGCTGTGGTTCTGAGCATCTGTCATACACTGGCTAAGAGCTTTGCATGCATCTTCTACACAGGCCTCGGCAATGACCTGCAAGGGATGCCCATGAAACATCAGGATAAGGACACTGGGACCCCAAGATGCAAGGTCACACTACTAGAAGGCAGCTGAGTTGGACTTAGAACCCAGGTAGGAGGTCTGTATTACTAACTACTTGTCTCCAATAAATCATATTGATGCTTTACTATTCACTCACCTCCAGTACCATGCCAGTCCCTTTGAAACCCAAGATGTATGTACTAAAACCTACTTATGAATGAGAGAGCTGAGGAGCAGAGAGGTACCATGAAGTGCCCTGATAACAGAACAGGTTTCAGAACAGGGAAGCCTCTATTCACAACACTGCAAACACTAGCCCGGTAGGTAAACCAAGGCCTCACGCCTCTCTGACTGCCTGCTCAGCTATACCAGAAACCAAATAAGTTCCAGAGAGGCTGTGTTTATGTGACCCCTCCCCCACGCACACATACATGGTGGCAAACCTCCTTTATGAACCTCAGTTAAGAGTCACAGCTGCTCACCCATACCCTCCTCTGCCTACTCCAGACAAGGTCTGCCATTGCCCTCCAAGGGCCTTATTGTGCAGTGGTCAAACCAGGCTATCTCTAAGGACCTTTGCAGGCCTAATATCTGTTCATGAGATAAGATGATGTCCAAACAGCGCCATTCACTCAACTGTCACTGCTAGGATGCCACTGAGCCCCAGGCACTGTTATCACCTAGTCTAGTTTCTAGGGAGGTCATGTGGGTCAAGAGCTGAGCTGTACAGTTCCAGTCTAAATTTAAATCGAAGGCTACTGCTTTCTAACTCTGGTCTTGTTGTCATTTGGTTCTGACTGCTTCCTGTGAAAGCAAGGATGTCAAGGGTGGCTCATGGCTGGCTGTGAGCATCAGAGCATTCATGTTTGAACACAGCACCAGGCCCATATAGGCCCTCATGAAACTCTAGCTATCAATACCATCATTATTATAGGCCTGATGAAACTGGATGTCAGTGTTCAAGTGATCCGTAGAATTAACCAGCTGACACTGCAGAAAAGGCAAATGAGTATAAGAGAGGACCATAGAGTTACCAAAGGCAGACGTGGGACTGGACCCTCAGCACCACAGACCAGACTCCCACATTGCATGATGACTCTGTACCCTCCACTGCCCAGGGACAACAGTAGAGGCTCAGTGCTTTTCACCTGTCTCCAGGCTTGTCCCCATAGCCAGGTGCTCAAAGCCTTGGCAGGAGCTGGCCTTTAGCAAGGTGACCTCTCCAAACTAGAAGTTCTAGGAGCCTGGTCCAACTGCCTCCCACTCAGGCTTGGGCACATATCAAGGGCAGCCTGCAGAACCTCCTAGCCAGGTACAGCATCTTACCACACTGTAAACAAAACATTCATGCCACCGCCAGGCATCCTTGCTCAGCGCATACACTGCACCACTCTGCTCCTTGACCCTGAGTTGGCAGAAGGGAGACAGCTGGAGTGTCTATGCATGGGACCATTCAGCAGCATGGGGCGCTGACTAAGCGGCCTTCTCTGCCATGATTCATCCTCATCTTTAGCAGAGTGAGCTAGGCCCTATCCAGTACACAGAATGATCCAGCCCCACTCCCCACCAAGAGCACAGGAGGTACCACCAACCCACTCTCAGGAACCAGGTCCATGAATACAACAGCATTTGCCGGCTCCCCAGAACTTCAACAGATCCAGGGCTGGCTATTCATGGCCAAGGGACAATGCTTGAGTTAGTGAAATTTAAGCAGATTCTAATGCCAATGCCCTCTGCAAAGCTATCTCATGAACTGAGTGTGTCCTCAGCTATAAAACCAGAGTCTCAAAGATGATGGCACGATGGCTCTTCAGCATCCGTGGGGGATGGGTCCCAGGACCCTCATGGATGTTACCCCCCCAGATCATCTTTTATATAAATGTCACAGAATTTGCATTAACCCACATACAGCCTCTTGTATATTTTAAATCATCTCTAGAGTATTTATAATACCCAGTAAATGTAAATGTTATAGAGACAGTTGTTTTATTGTATTGTTTAGGGAATAATGACAAGGAAAAAAATCTACACATATTCAGTACTTTGCTTTTGTTTTGAGACAGGGTTTCTCTGTGTAGCCCTGGCTGTTCTGGAACTCATTCTGTAGACCTGGTTAGCCTCTAACTCAGGGGTCCGCCTGCCTCTGCCTCCCGAGTGCTGAGATTAAAGGTGTGCACCACCACTCTGGCTACTTTTTGAAAACTGCAGGACCCTGATACCTCACTTTGCATGTAGGCGTATTGTCTTGTGGGCCTCCTTCCCCCTCTAGAACACAGGCTAAAGGACAAGAACGCTGTCTAACCCACCATCACTTCCAGTTGTCAAGAACGCACTGCTGGCATAATAAATGAGTGGCTTGCAGAGCCAATACCTCCCTCCATCCTGCTTGATGCCAGTGCCGCTCAGGCCCTTTTTGGAAAGGCCGAGCAGGTAGGTCTCTCACTATACCAGTCCCAGCCACACAGGGCACCTGACTCTTGCAGAGCTCTGACCAGTTCTGTTGTGTAGCTGCCCATAGAACTTACCCCTTGCCCTGGCTGTCTCACTGCACCTAACAATCCTCCAGG